GCCTGTAGCACAGTGGTTATGGCGGCAGACACTTACACAAGGGCTGATGAGTTCAAGCCTAATCTGGGCCAGCTGAGCAACAATGACAACTGCACCAAAAAAATAGCTGGGCGTTGTAGCAGGTGCCTGTAGTCTCAGCTACTTGGGAGGTTGAGGCAAGAGAATCACTTAAGCCCAAGAGTTTGAGGTTCTATGAGCTGTGACGCCACAGCACTCTACTGAGGGTGACGTAGTGAGACTCTGTCTCAAAAAAAAAAAAAAAAAAAAAGAGAGAGAGAAAAAAAATAAGAGTAAGGAAAAAGAGTTCTGGCTTCTGGAAAACAAAACATAAAGAGAATCAGTAATGTTTAGACAAAAGTCATGAAAAATTCTTTTAATTCCATGTGATTAATTTTGGTTTTGTTTGAGTTTGGGTTAGCAGTCTTCACAAATGCACCTGTTTTAAAGTCTTGGAAATTTTATTTTATTTTTTTTAAGACAGAGTCACACTTTGTCCTCCTGGGTAGAGTGTTGTGGCATCATAGATCATAGCAACCTGAAACTCTTGAGTTGAAGCAATAATCTTGCCTTAGCTCCCCAAACAGCTGGGACTATAGGCACTGGCCACTATGCCTGGCTAGTTTTTTTTTTTTTCCCTATTTTCAGTAGCGATGTGGTCTCACTCTGGTTCAGGCTGGTCTTGAACTCCTGAGCTCAAGCAATCCCTGACCTTGGCCTCCGGAGAGCTGGGATCATAGGTGTGAGCCACTGCACCCAGCTTCCCCCCCTTTTTTCTTTAGTTTGAATGGTATGATCTCCAAAGGTATTGACTGCACATGTAATTAAAAGTACCCGTCAGAGTTCTTTCTATAAATTTCCTTGAAGAGACAAATTTTGGATCACAGTCAGTTAAAAAACACTTTTTGAAAAGAATCAAAGTAAAATAATAATTGTCTGTGGATGACAAAAATCTTAGAATATTGTGGTTATAGAGTCAGTTGACAAAGAAGTTTGGTTAAAGTTTTGGGCACATAAAACTTAACATAATAACCATCATTACTATTGATAAATACAGCAAGGCATATCAGAATTATAGGATCTCATACAACTTTGGAACACATACATATTTATATAAATGTAGTCCAAGAAAGTTAAACACCATTTCGTATTTGACAATGCTTCTTGTGTAGTTTTAACATACTTAACAAGCCAAATGGTTCTCCCCCAGACTTTAGTGGTTCAAAAAATATGTATTTTTGAAAACTAGTTTGAGGTCAAAAAGACTGTAGAATTTTGGTTTGGGGAAGTTTGTCAAATATCAAAGGTCTGAAACACTTGTTATCATAAAACAGGATTACTATTATTACTATTAAATAATATTTATTTAGCCAATGTGATAATTTTAAGATTTTAAGGGCAAAAGTTTTGCTCTTTAAGCGAGAGGCAACTGGGCTTGATGGCTCACAGCTGTAATCCCAGCACTCTGGGAGGTCGAGGCAGGAGGATCCCTTAAGCTCAGGAGTTTGAGACCAGCCTGAGAAAAACCAAGATCCCATTTCTACCAATAGATAGATAGATAAATGAAATTTTAAAAAAGAAAAAGAAAAGGTAGCTAGGTTAGGTGGTATATACCTGTCCTACCAGCTATTTGGGTGGCTAGACTGGAGAATAACTCAGGCCTGGGAGTTTGGGCCTACAGTGAGCTACAGTGATGCCACTGCCCTATAGCTGGGGTGACAGAATGAGACTCTGTCTCAAAAATAAATAAGAAAATAAAATAATAGAGAGGGGACTTAGTTTCCCGAATAGTAAGAGCCAAAAAAAGAAGCTGAAAGCTACCCAACAAAGAGACAAATCAGATCACCTATATATCTGTCTAACAAGGGTACAAGTGAACTTTTCTAGAACTAGAATGTAAATGGTTTGACACAATGACTAAGCAAATGACATGAAATCTATGTGAACCAGCTTGATGAAAGTATTTCAAATTGTATATGAAAACACTACACTGTACCCCATGCTTGCATTAATGTCTACAGCTATCATTTAATTAGAAAAAAGAGACAAATCGAATCTGTCTCTCTTTTCTCTCTTTCTTAGTTTATTCAAAAGAATAAACGAAAGTTTTTACTATGTCTATTAATATTACTTGAAAATCTTGTCTGAAAGAGAAAACCAATTTTTATTTTTGCATTAGTGTATTGTGTTAAAACTAATTTTAATACAACATTATGGACAGATCTATTTAACCATGATTGACTATAAGGTAAGATTTCTATAACTCTTTAAAAATTTTATCATTTCCCCCAACTTTTATATCCACTCAATCATATCTATTATTTATATCTTTATTTAATTTAGAACAACTTCTAAAACCTTTAAATTAGGCAAAATTATTTTTTGTTTAACAAAAATCCTGTTTTTATAACTTCTCATAATTCTTCTTATTGATCAGAAAATGCATGCAATATTTTTACTTTTTTTTTTTTTATTTGGAGACAGAGTCTTACTTGGTCACCCTTGGTAGAGTGCCGTGGCATCTTAGCTCACAGCAACCTCAAACTCTCGGGTTCAAGTGATTCTCTTGCCCCAGCAGAGACTACAGGTACCACAACAGCACCTGGCTATTTTTTAGAGACGGCATCTTGGTCTTGAGCCTGTGAGCTCAGGCAATCCACCCGCCTTGGCCTCCCAAGTGCTGGGATTACAGGTGTAAGCCACCGCACCTGGTATTTTTACATTTTTTATATAAAATTGTTTCTCTTATATCAAGTAGTTTTCATTATATATACAGAGGGTACCAAAAATATATATACACATTTTAAGAAAGGAAAAAAAAAAACCCATGTTAAAATTGTAATACTCTGCAATTGTAGGAGATACAAGATAACAAACATTATTGAATATTACAATTTTTTTTTTGAGACAGAGCCTCAAGCTGTGCCCCTGGGTAGAGTGCTATGGCATCACAGCTCACAGCAACCTTCAACTCCTGGGCTCAAGCAAGTCTCCTGCCTCAGCTTCCCAAGTAGCTGGGACCACAGGTGCCCGCCCAAACGTCCGGCTATTTTTAGGTTGCGGCCGTCATTGTTGTTTGGAGGCCCCGGGCTGGATTTGAACCCACCACCTTAGGTGTATGTGGCTGGTCCCTTAGCCACTTGACCTGCTGGCTCTTGGTAACTCTTATTTTTGATGAAAAACCTAGGAAGTTTAAGTAACTCTGTGTCGCGACCCATCGGGCTCCTGTGGCCCCAGTCTCGGTTATCGCAGGAAGGAACCAGGCGAGAAGTGGATTAGAAGTACAAGCTTGTGGAAGGTGGGCTAGCCCTTACTTTCCGGGTAGTCCCGAGCAACCTCCGCACCAGCCTTTTATTGAAAGGGAATGATACAGGTGAGGGGAGTAATTAGCAATGACTACCTGCTGAGGGCATGGGCTCCTCCCATAAGGAACTCCTGTGGAGGAATGGCCCAAGGTCCACGCCTCAGCTTCAGATCATCTTGCTGGCATGTTGGCGTCTCCTACAACTCTGAACTATTTTTATTAGCACATCTAAGTATGTTTAGTCCAGTGAAGTTGTCCTGGTGTCAGGACTGCTTGAGGCCCAGGTGCCCTATCTTGTCAAGGCAGGACTAGGAGGAGGTGGGCTAATGTGCCCCCACTTTCTGCATTGGGCAGGGAAGTGTCAGGTCCAGCCAGTCCATCTCCCTGCTGTCTGCCTGCCTTCTTCAGAAAAGTGTTTTCCAAGGGGTAGGGTCTTAGGGGGTGTGGCAGGGCACTGACTTCTTAGTGGTGTTTGGCAGGTCATCTTGGCTTCAGCACCAAGGAAGGGAGAGGAGAGGAGTTGGGTGGCTCAGAGCAGCTACTCCCCAGGGGATGGCAGAAAGCTGTCTCTTCTTCTGTTGCAGACGGGCACCTGGCTTAGCCTCACCATTGAGCTGGTGCCCACTCTCCACTCACACCCCTGAACGCCAGTGAGTTGCCTGCTTAGGCTAGACTGGCCACTGGCATTGGTGGCATTTGGTGCCACGCCCATGGCATTGCACTCTTGTTGTTGATGAGAGGCCAGGGCTTCGTGTTGTTGTAGAATGAATGCTAAACAAAGGTGCAGAGAGCAAGAGGCCCCCGTGGGAGTTGAGGGGTCACGTGCAACCCCCATCATGTCCCTGCTAGTGTGTAGCAAGCACACACACACAGGCACACACAGTCATACATGCATACACGCACACATGCATGAACAGAGACATGTACCCATGTACACACGTA